TCCGGGAGAGCGAACGAGCGAGGGAGGAACCATTTTTCACATACTTTCTCTTTCAAAATGTAGCCCTGTTTCGCAATTTCCTACTTAAGTTCTGGAAGGCTCTGGGGCAGAACCCAAGCCACCTTCTCTAGCCACTGGCCTGGGTCTCTTGTCACCAAGAACCTGGTAGGCTAGCGGTGATGGAGAAAGGAAGGGGCCCAGATTTACTAACTCTCCCTCTGTCCCCATCCATGCTAGCTCACCCAAGGGTCTATTTAGTGCAGGTCTCTCTCTCTCTCTTTTTTGTAGGGACAAGATCTCAGGATGTTGCCCAGACTGGTCTTGAACTCCTGGCCTCAAGCTGTCCTCCTGCCTCAGCCTCCCAAAGTGCTGGGATTAGAGGCATGAGCCACCACGCCCGGCCTCACATTCTTGATGCTAAAGGAGCTTCAACCAAGCCTCCAGCCAAAACCTGTTTATTGTTCCCCGTGTGGTGGCTTTCTCTTGGGAGAGCCAGGAGGTGTGCCACACCAAAGCAGGTGCACCCAACCCTGGTATGCTCATGTCTCAGCAACCCCTGAGGCACCGAATCTTCAGATCTTCTCTACTCCCCTATAACTAGGCTTTTGTTCTGGCTCACTTTTACTGGCAGTACTAGACAGTATTCCAGCCCTTTTGCAATGAATCCATTTAGTCCTTAAAAATGAAACCTGTTCTCTGATTGTTTTCCTCCTACCTTATCACTGTTCACTTGAGTTTCCACCTGTTGCCCATTTAAATGTTGTCTGGACCACAGCTGGAGGAGTGAGACGCAAAAAGCCAGCACCTGGGTTGCTGGCCCTGCATCAGGGACTTGTAACAGAGCCCAAGAAGCTGACCCTTTTCCTAAATTCCCTCTCAGTCCTCCTACACCAAACCAAACAAACCAGAAAGAAAAAAAAATCCCCGCTTAAGTAAACAAATCCAGAAAACACAACCCCATCACCCAAAATATTGAAATGGAAAACAAATCTACACTCTGGAGATTTGATCTGAAACATACCAGAGCTGGAACTGCATACAGTGGCCAGAAATGTGTTAGTCTGGGCAAATCTGTGGCCCTGTAGAGGAAAAAGCTAACATTTTCCAAATAACAATGTGGGCACGTAACAACCACATACAATCATGTGCTGTTGTTGCCTAAACCTGGAAATAGGGTTAGGCAGCTCTACATCTTGACATAGATTCCCTCTCTCCAGCACTCACTCATCCTAAAAAGCACAGGATGTGATGTCTGGACCAACTCTGGGGTGCTCTCAGCCCTTATGGTCTCTGCCTCAGGTGGGCTGCTTCTCGGGTTGTGAGCAGGTTTTGAAACACACACCCCTCTCCAGCTCAAAACAGGACAGGGTGAGACAGATATGAGTAGGTCTAGGTGGGGCTAATTGTTTTTTTGGAAAGTACTGGGATCGCATCTGAAAGCACCCAGTGTATCAGTATCAGATGATCTTGCCAGTAATTCTGCAGATGTAGAAGCTCAAGTGTGGGGTGTACATCAGTGGATTCAGGACTTCCTGAAACGCATACTATGTACCTTGTCTTAGCTGCCTAGGACTTCAAGAGCAGCTTTAGGTGGCTCAAAGATGTGATGTAGAGAAGCGGGATGGCTCAGAGCATCACAGAGTTGATGGCAGGAGATACAGGAGGATTCAGCTCATTCTTTGATGTTGCTAAGATTCTGAATTTCTGCTTTGATGTTGGTGTAAGAGAAAGCTTACGACAATGCTTCTCAAATTGTTAAATATCTGCACAAATTTCCTAAGGGATCTTCCTACAAGGCAGATTCAGATTATTTAGGCCAAGGTCGCTGGTCCATGGCCACACTTTGGGTAGCAAGAGCCTAAGGGTCAGGGACACATCAGAGCCAAAGACAGCCAAGACATACTGGGACTGAGGATTGATGCCCCGAAGTGAGAAAGAGAAGGACAAAGAGAATCAATGGTGCACAAAAATAAAGTCAGAGGCTGAAGTGGGAACAAAGAAGGTCAGGGTGACAAAAAGAGGGACTGAGAAGACAGAGTTAGAGACGCAAAGAGGGGCAAAGACAGAGAGAACACAGAGATGGAAGATGGATGACACAGAGAGACTTGCAAAGACACAGCCAGGGTCAAGGAGAGGAGACAAGGTAAAGAGTGAGGGAAGAGGGGCTGGGGTTGGCTGTGGGCAGTCTGTGACTGGCAGTGAAGATCACAGGTGTAGAAGGGACAAGACCTGCAGGTGCACAGACATGAAATCCCCCACTTTCCTCACCTCCCAGCCTTCCCACGCCTGCATCACTCTCTCCCTGCTCCTGCAGAGCAATCCCTCCCAATGGGACCTTCCACTACTGATTTCCCCTTCTCTTGCCTGTGTACTCAACTGCTTTCTCTTTAAGTGCAACCCTCCTAGAAGGTTTTAAACACCATCAAGTCTTTCCCGTCTAAAGAAAAAGGGTCTCTCTTGACTCATATTTCTTTCTAGCTCCTGTCGTATTTCTCTTCCTCTTTTTCACAGCTAAGGAATTGTCTGCTTCCATCACCCTCCCCAAACACTGTTGCTAAGCTTCTGTTGGCACACATGTTGCTGAGTCCGATGGTCACTTTCCAGTCCTCTTTTGCTTGATCTCTCCCTCCTTCTTGCTAGCTTCTGGGGCCTGATATTCCCCTGGGTTTCCTCTTGCCTGCTTCTTCTTTAACTCACCCTTTGTGATCTGATCTTTATATTTAGAGGGTCTTTATATTAGAGATGGGTCCAGACTCCTCTCTTCACCCAGTGCTGTCTTTTCAGTTGACCTCTTCCAAACCCACAGCCTCGATGGCTTTCTGTACACCAGTTTACATTCCAGCCTGAACTCTGCCTGTACAACTAAACCTGTGTTTATGTCTAAGCAATGTCTGCTCACCATCTTTACCAGGATGTCTCAGAGGTACTACAAACTCAACGTGGTCGAAACCAGATTTATATTCTTCCTTCTTCTCCCAAACTGGTCTTCCTCGCAGGTTTCCCATCTCAGAACACAGCACTGTCATCTGTCTGGGTGTTTGAGTCAGAAACAGAGATTTCGTCCTTCATAACTCCCTCCCCATCTCTCCCCTCTTCCACATCCAATGCATCACCAAACTCTGTCAACTTTATGCCCCAAATACCTTTTGATTTTGCTCACTTCTCTCCATTTCCACTGCCTCCACCCCAGTTCAAATCTCCAACATCTCTCACCTAGATGACAGCAACAGTCTCCTAACCAACCTTTCCCTAATCTGTCTTTCAAGCTACAGACAAAGTGATCTTTGCAAAATGCAAATCTACTTGTTTTGGCCTACTGCTTAAAACCCTTCAGCAGCCTCCTTTGGCTCTGAGAATAAAGGACCAACTCCAGGCAATCTTTCTAGAATCTTCTGAACTCATTTGCCCTCGAGACCTTCCAGCTATACTGGCTTGCTTTCAGTTCCTTGGCCAAACTACTTTCTGCTACAGGACAATTGCATATGCTGTGTCTGTAGAACTGTGCTGTCCAACATGGTAGCCACTGGCCACATGTGGTTGTCGAGCACTTAAAATATGGCTAGTGCAACTGAAGAACTGAATTGCTAATGTTATTTAATTTTAATTGCCTAAATTTAAAATTTAAAAACATACATCATTCAGTTACAGAAAAACTGCTAAGTGTTCTCAAAACAACTTGGGTATGTGTATCTTCTTTTTCAACTTTAGTTTTTATGCAGTGTAATTACAGATCAGGTATTTCTGGTGAAAATTTAGCATCCAAATTAAGATATGCTGTGAGTGTAAAAATACACATGGAACATTGAACACTTGGTTTTAAAAATGTAAAAGATCTCACTAATAATTTTTTTTTACCTTGATTGCGTGTTAAAAAGATAATACTTTGGGGCCAGGTGCAGTGGCTCATGCCTATGATCCCAGTGCTTTGGGAAGCCGAGGCAAGATGATCGCTTTAGCCCAGGAGTTCAAGACCAGACTGGGCAGCATAGTGAGACCTCATCTCTATGAGGAAAAAAAAAAGATAATACTTTGCATATATATAGTTAAATAACAGATGTAATTAAAATTAATTTCACCTCTTTTTCCTTTTTATTTATTTATTATTTTTTAATTTTTTTTTTTGAGGCGGAGTCTCGCTTTATCGCCCGGGCTGGAGTGCAGTGGCCGGATCTCAGCTCACTGCAAGCTCCGCCTCCCGGGTTTACACCATTCTCCTGCCTCAGCCTCCTGAGTAGCTGGGACTACAGGTGCCCGCCACCTCGCCCGGCTAGTTTTTTGTATTTTTTTAGTAGAGACGGGGTTTTGCCGTGTTAACCAGGATGGTCTCGATCAGACCTCATGATCCGCCCGTCTCGGCCTCCCAAAGTGCTGGGATTACAGGCTTGAGCCACCGCGCCCGGCCTCTTTTTCCTTTTTACCTTTTTATACTGTGGCTACTAGAGAAATATTTTCTTTTTTTTATTACTTAATTTTTTTTTGCACACCAAGCTGGTCTCAAACTCCTGGGCTCAAGTGATCCTCCTATTTTTGCCTCCCAAAGTGTTGGGATTACAGGCGTAAGCCACCCTGCCTGGCCATTTTTTTTTTTTTTTTTTTTTTTTTTGAGGCAGTCTCACTCTGTTGCCCAGGCTGGAGTGCAGTGGCGCGATCTCGGCTCACTGCAACCTCCACCTCCCGTGTTCAAGCGACTCTCCTGCCTCAGTCTCCGAGTAGCTGGGATTACAGATGCACACCACCACACCAGGCTAATTTTTGTATTATTACTAGAGATGGGATGTCACCATGTTGGTCAGGCTGGTCTTGAACTCCTGACCTCGTGATCTACCCGCCTCAGCCTCCCAAAGTGCTGGGGTTACAGGTATGAGCCACCACGCCCGGCCCAAAAATGTTAAATTAAATATGTGGCTCACATATTTCTACTGGACAGCAGCAATCTGTCTTAAATCCTTCTACCCATCCTTCAGAGTTAGGCTCAAATATCACATCCTCTGAGACACCTCCCTGAGAGAAAGTATTTTATTTTTATTCTGTTTTATTAACTTTCATAGCTATGCACAGATGCCAGTGGTCACCTGCCCTTGGCACCATCCTTTTGTAGTTACATATGTGTTTGTACGATTCCTCGGTGCATGCCTGTCTTCTTCCCCACCAACCTCTAAGCTCCACAAGAGCAAGGCCTGTGTTTGGCTCCTCCCTGGAAACCTAGCACCTGGTCCAGAGCCTGGCACACACTTCAGAATGCCACAAGGAGTTATTCCATCCATTGCCCTGCCTTTGGGCAGGACTGTCCCCAACCATCACTGGAAGCCTATGCACTCCCTTCCCCCGGCAGTGCCACTAGCCCTTCCGTATATAGATTCTGCCTCTCCCAGATGGAAAGTCCTCCTTTATAGATGACCAGAATCCCTCCTGCTGCAACATGGCCAGGGCCCTTTCTCCCATTCTTTAAGGAGAATTAGAGCAGCACTTCTCACATTTATATAACACGCCAATCATCAGGAATCTTGTTGAAATTCAGACTCTGGCTCACCAGGTCTGGAATGAGACCTGAGATTCTCATTCCTAACAAGCTGCCCTGTGACGACACTGCTGCCGGTCCATGCTCTGAGTAACAAGGATATAGACTGCCTGTTTACCACCCTCAGAGCAGCCCCTACGTTTTCTTCCTTCTCTGCACGACCCTCTGCTGAGCAGGCTATTTGGGGTCTCTTGAAATTCCCTGTCTCTTCTTGCTCCCACGCATACCTTGCCAAACCCTCACACCCTGCAAAGGAATGTGGTGCCTGTGTCTACTGCTGTCGTTGATTTTTTTTTGTTTTAATTTGAAATAAACCTTTAAGGCAGTTTTCAGAGTCACGTTAGCCCTGATACGTATCATGGAAGAGTAACAACACTCTCCAACGATAAAGTCACACAGCTGGGAGTGCTGAACGGGATGGGAAGAAGGCTTCTCCCCAGGTCACCAGCAGTCCTCAAGCTTGGCTCCCATCTGCCACACTAGCTAGTCCAATCCCAGCAGCTTCTCCAGAAGGCTCCCCTCTGCAGTTTGGTCTCAGATGCTGGGAAGTGTTGTCTCTGACACGGCCACAGCGAGCTTCGGAAACCAAGAGTGTACTGCTGGACCCGAGGGATGGAAGTGTCTTCTGGTGGCCTCAGGGGTGTGTGTGTGTATGTGTGTGTGTGGTATCTGTGTGTGTGTATACATGCACACACATGTGTGCAAGTATGTGTGGTTGTATATGTGGATAGGGGTTTGAGTGTGTGTGTCTTGTGTCTATGTATGCATGGATGGATTGGAGCGTGTGTGTATGCTTTGCCCCCGATGTTCCAGTTCAGGAAAGCTTTAATCACACAGAGCAGCACTGAACTCTTCCTGCATGGGCCTGGGGGCTGGACAGTGTCCCTAGGCGGGCCCTGCAGATGTGAGCGGCCCCACCGTCCCTTGCTGCTGCTGCCCCTTGCGTCTTCGAGAGCCAGTGCCCGCCTCCTTGCTCTCCTTCCTGGCCAGGTTCCTGTTGGCATTCTCCCGCCGGCCCTGGCCTCCCTTCCTCCTCTTCTGCCCTGAAACAACCAGACAGCAGGAAGAATCAACAAAGGATGTGCAGGGAGCCCCTGGGCATGGCCACAGGCCCTAGGAGGGGAGTGTGAGGAAGCCGGAAGGGGAGGCAGGGAGGAGGCTGGAGATGCTGCCTGTAGGTAGTTGGGTCATGGTGACCTGCTCTGACAGCAGCCACTTCAGAGGACCCTGAGGCATGAGCACTGAGAGGCAGCCCAAGAGCCCTGTCACTCCCCAACCCTCAAGGCACACAAGACATCATCCTCTTCCTCATGGGTTCCTCAGATCTTGGATCCCAATGGACCAAGAGCACTTCCCAGGTATTCAGTGCAACCCTCAGAACAGGCAGGACTGCCCCCATCCCCTCCCCACCACCAGCCACCTCTGGGGCCAGGCAAGAGCAGCAGCCACCTCCTTGCCAACTGCAGGCTGTGTGACTTTGGTGGAATCACTACAGCTCTCTGGGTCTTAGTGCTCCTTTCGCCCACCCATCTGGCCTCCGAGGGGCCTTCTAGTATGAACATCCACTAGCTCAGAAGAAATGGGGAAACTGGAAGGATATTGACCACAGAAGCTTCCAGTTTCTACCATGCAGAGTTCCAGGGCCCTGTTCTCTGCCAGGACATGGCATCTGGATTGGACAGCATGAGGTCTTGAGTTGTGGGTGCCCCATCTGGCCTTGCCCTGAAGCTTTCTCCTGAACCGTGGGCAGGAAGCAGAGATGGTGGGACCTGCCATGGCTGGTGCCTGAGCGCTGACCCCAAGGAAGCAGAGGCTGCAGCTCACCCTCAGGACACGGCACCCTCCTCACTGTGCACCTCCGGGTCTCCTTGGTGTCAGAGCAGGCAGCATGGTCCCCTCCAGGGGCATTGAGAACCCTGCGTGTCCGCTCCTCGGAGCCCCTCCGGAAACCACAGAGCTTCTTCTTCTTGGAGCAGGGCCCCCATGGGGACCATTCGCTCATTTCACATTGCGCTGGCAGGAAGAGAAGGGAAGGGAGAGTAGGACAAGGAGGAGGGGATCAAATCTCCTCCCCTGGCCCGGAATAGCCCAGGGGAGCATCTCCCACCTGCCTTCTGCCTGGACCTCAGGCTGCAGGTATCTTTAGTCCAGAGGGCAGAAGAGTCCTTGGAGACCCAGAAAAGAGTGGTAGGGTAAGCTCTCCCTGCACAGTGCCCCAGCCCACCCACTCTCTGGCCAGACCCTTACCCAGCCCCTCCTCCTGGGGTCCTGGACCCTCTGCCCACAGTGCCTGCCATGGCTTACCAGGACTACTGCACTCCATGGTGCCATTGGCAGCTGAGGAGCCCTCGGGACAGGCTGGATAGCAGCGGCCCTTGTGCAGGTACAATCCCTCCTTACACTTAGTGCAGAAGTTATGGCTGAAGCAGGCCTCACAGTGCTCGATCTTGCATTCTGAGGAGAGGACAAATTGGGGGCTTCTGGCCCAACCTAGAAGGAACATTTTCCCTCATTCCCAGCCCCAACACCCTCCCTTCTGTCCACATCCACCTACATGGAGGGCAGGACCCTGGCCTAGAGCTGCAGTTACTGCAGAGGAATCTCGGGAGGAAAGGGAAAGGAAGGGCAGTGGCAGGCCAGGGAAGAAGAAGCTGAAGCAGCTGCTCCTGAGGGCTGGCTGGGACTCTTGCCACCGTCAGCCAACTCGAACATGAAGCCAGTCTCAGTCCCTGGAACCCAAGGTGAGGCTCAAGAGAGCAGTTTCAGAGGAGGAGGGTGGGGCCCTCTGGGCTTGGCGGGGGTGGGACAGGAGTGTTTCAGCATCTCACAGCATCCACAGGGCCACCCTAAACAGAGCTGAACTGCGGGGCAGAATGGCCCCCCAGAGAGTGGCTGTGTGATCTCCTCTTCCCTCATTGCTGGGCGTCTACAATACCCCAAACTGTGGTTCTCTTCCTGCCTGGGGCAGAAAGAATCAGCACGGAGGAGGGGGAAGCCATCCTATGGCAAATTCCTTTCCCTCTGCAAGGCTGAGTTCCAGGAACCGCCTTGGTAGGACTCCTGGGTCCCTCCCTGATTCCCTGCTGCCAGTTCTCTCCTCTGGGGGAATGGGAGCAGGGTGGGTCCTCTAGGGCTTGGCTGAAAGCAGGCAGGGTCTTTCACAATCTCTCCTTCCCAGAGTGCAGGCGGGGCTGACTTCCTCCCAGGCTCTGGCACCTGAAGCCCACGCTGCCAGTTTCCTAGGAGCTGGCGTAGCCAGGAGCTCCCCACCCCAAGGACCCTGAGGACCAAGAGGGTAGCTCCCAGGGTCCCACCTCCATCCTCACAAACTCCCACCATCCTCCAGGCTTATCTCAGCCTCACCTCTCTCCTTCCCTTCTTCCTTCCCTCCCTGGTGCTCTGATTCCTGGGTTTGGTTGCCAGTCAAATAAGAACAAAAATAAGAACAATAGCAGCTACCATTTGTTGAGTGCCAGACACTAAGGGCTTTACGTGCGTGTCTCACAACAACCCTAGGGGGTAAGAACTCTTAAAGATGAGGCATTGAGAGGTGGAGACGTGCTCAAGGTCACACCATGAAGAAGCAGCAGAGTTGAGCTCAGAACCCAGTCTAGTCTTGGACCAGTCATTTACCTTCCGGGCCTCAATGTTGTCAGCCCTGAAAAGGGTACCATCAGTTGTGTCCTGTCTCCCTTCCAGTGTTGTTGTGAGGCTCAACTGATATGAGACCTGCAAATGCATTCTAAATGGCAAGGCACTGAACAGGTGGTGGGGGCACTGGCATTGTCTCCCTGAATGTGTTCACACGTGTCCCCCAGCACATCACAGCTGCATCTACAGAGAAGGGATGGAGATACGGCAGCGTGTGCCTTGGAGCACATGGAGCTGTAGCTGGTGTGGAAATGAGGAGCCAGAAGACCAGGGAGCGAAGAGAGTGGAAGAGCAGGCTGCCTCAGCTTGGATTCCCCTGCAGCCCATGTGGAGCTAACCGTGGTTTTTAAGCAGAAGTGTGATGGGACGGGTTGTATGTCTCAGAAATGTGATGGGATAGGAATAGGTTCTGTGTCTCAGAAGTGTGATGAGATAGGTTGTGTGTCTCAGAAGTGTGATGAGATAGGTTGTGTGTCTCAGAAGTGTGATGAGATAGGTTGTGTGTCTCAGAAGTGTGATGGGGTAGGGTGTGTGTCTCAGAAGCGTCTTTCTGGCTGCATTGCAGAAGGTGGGCTTCAGGGAACCAGATGAAGGCTGGAGGACAGATGAACAGGCTATTGCAATGATCCAGGAGCAAGGTGCTGGGAGGCTGGGGAGGACAGTGGCAGTGAGGACAGACAAGAGACGACAGACAGGCTCTGATGATTGGATGGATGGGGTGGGAGAGGTTGGCACTCAGGGCTGTGGCTTGGGTGACAGGTTGGGACATGGAGGGTAACCTGTGGGAATACAGGTAGGGGCAGGTGCGAAGGGAGGAGACAGGGTTCCAGTATTTACACACCAAGGTGGAAGTGTGCAGCTGGATACTTGAATCGGCGCCTCATCTCCTCTCCTCAGAGCCCCCTCTGCTCCTCTCACCAGCCACCAGTGGTTCAAAGCACTCTCCCCCAGTCCAGAGCTTCTAGTGCCCCCTACCCCCGACAGCCCTGCCCACACTCACTGATGCACTTGTTCATGTCGGGGTTGCGGGCGTCGAAGTATCCAGGTGGGCAGGACGGCAAGCAGACACCCACCTGGCGGATGTCGTTCCTCTCCAGCAGGATGAACAGCTTGGGCGAGCACTTGAGGCAGCCGTTGACTTCAGAGCAGAGCTCACAGCCTTTGGCACAGGCCTGGCTCCCCTCGGCACTGACTGCAAAGGTGGAGCAGGGATGAGAGGCGGCTGTGGAGAGAACCTCACCTATCCAGATTCTGACAAGGATGGGAAGTGAATAGATCGGCGTTTCCTTCCACAGAAGGAATATGCTTCTCAGAAAGCACAGGCCAGGCAAGCAGCTGTCTGCAAGGCTGCTTTATACACCTTCCCAGTAGCTTTTCTCCAGAGAGCTAGCAACAGATGCTGACCCATGTGCCTCCCTAGCTCCAGGCATGACATGAACTTACTCTCTAGGCCAGCTCCACCATCCCCAGAGAAGCAACCCAAGCTGCACCCTTCCTGGAATTTCTCCACTCTCCCCAGAGCACAAAACAGTCAGCCTTAGGTATAGAAGGAGGGTTTTTTAAATTTCTGAGAAAGTTTTAAGGGCAAGAGGGATAAAGAGTGAAACAGAAAAGGAACACCTACCCAGACACACAAAGACAACTGGAATAACCTATGTCTAGAACAGGGGTCTCAACCACGGATGATTTTGCTCCCTAGGGAACATTTGGCAATGTCTGGAAACCTTTTTGATGATCACACCTGGGGAAAGGGGTTGTTACTGGCATCAATTGGGTAGAGACCAGGGATGCTGCTAATCATCCTATAATGCATCAGGCACAGAAAAGAATCATTTGGTCCAAAATGTTAATGGCACTGGGGCTGAGAAACCCTGGCTCAGAATCATCCTTTGAAGCTGGGCGTGGTGGCTCACGCCTGTAATCCCAGCACTTTGGGAGGCTGAGGCGGGCAGATCACCTGAGGTCAGGAGTTCGAGACCAGCCTGGCCAACATGGTGAAACCCCATCTCTACTAAAAATACAAAAATTAGCCAGGCATGGTGGCGCACGCCTGTAATCCCAGTTACTCTAGAGGCTGAGGCAGGAGAATCGTTTGAACCTGGGAGGCGGAGGTTGCAGTGAGCTGAGATTGTGCCACTGCACTCCAGCCTGGATGACAGAGCAAGACTCTGTCTCAAAAAACAAACAAACAAACAAAAAAGAGAACCATCCTTGGAGGCTTCGTGGTTTTCCATCCCAGCATTGAGTCTCAGGATCTTTGATCTCACTCATGGAGCCCCTTCCATGGACCTTGCACAGTGTGAGCCCTGGGGACAGAGGCAGACAAGCCACTCTGTAGAGGAATTGAACTTTCAGTAGAGCAGACAGACCCACAAATAGGTGAATGCTGACAGTCACAGGGCCAAGCAATAGTGGAGCCAAAAAGAAGGAGGGAAACAAGCCACAAAGGAGGTGTCATTGAGGCCACGTCTTAGATAATTTGTACAGATGTGTCCTTTAGGAAGTAGAATTAAGGGCACTCAGGGAGCAGGACCACAGAGGTGTAAAACTAGGGAAAGGCGGAATTGCAGATAACTTGGGGTGGAGATGGGAATAGGAGGAGAGTGGTGAAAGGTAAGGTTTTCTATCTTTATATCATACTAAGGAACTTGAACTTGATCCTGCCAGATGGCATTTCCCAAAAAGCACTCCTTACAACTTGATTCCCCCAACTGTGAATAGGAAAATGTGGAGAAAGGCTACTGTGTCAGGTAAGACCAGGAACCAGTGGGTCAAACAAATCTAAACAGATTTCTTTACTGCAGGCCTAATGGAAGCTTTATTACTCTCCTGTGTGCAGTGACTCTCTGAGCGGGGCACAGAGTGAATTGCATTTCCCAAGCATGTTGGCCACAGAACACTTGTTTTGGGACCTTCTCAGACTGTTTAGACATCAGGGAGCCATTAGAACATGTTAAGCAGGGATGAGACCTGGTCCAATTTACATGTTGGGAAATTATCTCTGGGAGCCAGGGTGGAGACCGGAGATGGAAGAACTGTTTGGGAGGAAGCTGACTAGATCATCCAGGTGAGAAAAGTGAGAACGTCTTAAAATTCTGTTCCACAGGGATAGAGGGAAAAAAGATAGATTTGAGAGATGCTTGGAAATGCAACCCGTAGGACATCGTGGCTAACAGGCAGAGAGGAAAGAGGCGTGGGGAGCAGCCTGGGGTGATTCCCAGATGTTTGGCCTGGGGTGTGGGTGAGCCGTGGGGCCAGACATGAAAAGAAGCCCATGGCAAGAGAAGCAAGTTGAGAGGGAAGGAGAGGAAGGAAAGTAGTTACATGGGGTGGAGATGGGAATGGGAGTGGAGTGGTGAAAGGTAAGGTATCCTGTCTTTATATCATGCTAAGGAACTTGAACTTGATCAAGAAGGGCAACAAGAGCCAGGCAGCGGCCAGGTGCAGTAGCTTACGCCTAGAATCCCAGCACTTTGGGAGGCTGAGGTGGGTGGGTCACCTGAGATCAGGAGTTCAAGACCAGCCTGGCCAACATGGCAAAACCCCATCTCTACTAAAAATACACAAAATTAGCTGGATGTGATGGTGGGCACCTGTAATCCCAGCTACTCAGGAGGCTGAGGCAGGAGAATCACTTGAACCTGGGAGGTACAGGCTGCAGTGAGCTGAGATCATGCCATTGCACTCCAGCCTGGGTGACAGAGCAAGACTCTGTCTCAAAAAAACAAAACAAAACAAAACAAAACAAAACAAGAGCCAGGCAGTGAGGAGCTGCAGATACAGGCATAAGGCAGAGAGCTGGGAAAATCAGAATAGAGATGGTGGGAGATGGTACAGGGTAGTGGACCCAGAGCCCCAGCTTCAGAGTCATCAGGACCCAAAGCCAGATTCCCAGTCTGGGAAGCTGGGCAAAATACTGAATGTCCTGTGCTTCCCTGAGAAGGGGAGATGAGGATGTCCACTCTGGACAGCTGCTGGGGTGAGTCTATGCTGCGGGAATCATTCCTGGTTTCAGAACAGGAGAACATAGAGGAGTCAGGAAGGAGAGCAACCGAAGGAAGGAAGATGATAACAAACACCAAATCATCACAACAACACAGCAGTAACCACAGTGGCGGCAGTGTGTTACTAAATGTTGATTACTTACTCTGTGGCAGCAGTATTCTCAGTGCTTGACAAGTATTAACTCATTTAATCCTTACAACAACCCATGAGGTAGGTACTATTGTTATTATTTTTCAAATTTATTGTTATTATTATTATTATTATTTTTGAGACAGAGTCTCACTGTGTCACCCAGGCTGGAGTGCAGTGGCACAATCTCCGCCTCCCAGGTTCAAGTGATTCTCCTGCCTCAGCCTCCTGAGTAGCTGGGATTACAGGCACCTGCCACCATGTCTGGTTAATTTTTTGTATTTTTATTAGAAATGGGGTTTCACCATGTTGGTCAGATTGGTCTTGAACTCTCAACCTCAGGTGATCCACCTGCCTAGACCTCCCAAAGTGCTGAGATTACGGGCGTGAACCACCCCACTTGACCTATTATGCACATTTTTATAGATGAGGGAATGGAAAGGTAAATTACTTGAACAAAATTTCTCAGCCAGTATGTGTTTCAGGTAGAGGAACAAAGTTTAGGGAGCCCAGGGTAGGACAATATGAGGTGGCACGGAAACTATATATTTTTGGAAAATGGAATTTATGGGCTGGGTGTGGTGGCTCATGCCTGTAATTCCAGCACTTTGGGAGGCTGAGATGGGCAGATCACTGCAGCCCAAGAGTTCAAGACCAGCCTGGGCAACATAGGGAGACCCCGTCTCTATTACAAAAAATAATAATAGACTGGCTAAGGTGGCTCACACCTGTAATCCCAGCAGTTTGGGAAGCTGAGGCCAGGAGTTCGAGATCAGCCTGGTCAATATGGTGAAACCCCGTCTCTACTAAAAATACAAACATTAGCTGACCGTGGTGGCACACACTTGTAATCCCAGGTACTCAGGAGGCTGAGGCATAAGAATCACTAGAACTCGGGAGGCAGAGGCTGCAGTGAGCCAAGATTACCTCTGCACTCCAGTTTAGGTGATGAGCAAGACTCTGTCTCAAAATAATAATAATATAAGATAAAAATAAAAATCATGATCATTCTTGTTGGTAGAATTATTGTATGAGCAAAAATACTCCAAATGCGACATTGAAGTTATGAGGGAGCACTTCGGATTATTTTTCTACTCTGGGCCTTTATTCAGTTGTGTTACAAATTTACGAGTCATTATCTATTTTAGGCACCACTTCCACTTTAAAGATATTAAATCGTCTATGATGCACTGTTTTGATTTAATTCATTGTTGACGTGAATGTGCCTTCTAGGTTTCTGCCTTAGTTTCAGTAACGGCAGTTATCCCGGCGTCCCATTTGCAGCCCTCTCCAGCGATGCTGCCATACTCATTTCTTTCTTCATTATCACCCGTGCTAAGAACAGGTTTGCAAAAGGCGCCCTTTCAGATCTGCTGCCCACCTTCCATTCCACTAGCAACAAGTCCCTGTGTGCATTTTTCTTCAGTGCCCTCAATGGCACCACAGAGAAAGTGTGGCATACCCGGGGAAGGAAATCTGGAATCAGGTCAGCATGGCGGGAACGTGGAGCAAGTGATGAGGCAGGAAGCTGGAGAGGGAAGCAGGGGCTAGATGAGGAAGAATCCTGAGCCTGGATTAAAGAGTTCACACCCTATCCTGAAGGTCAGAAGGAATCAGTGGGAGGTTTACAACAGGAAACACAGTCAGGATTCCATTTTAGAAAGATCACTCGGTAGAGTGGAGAATGGATTGTCCGAGGGCAAGAGTGGAGACAGGAAGACTCCCAGGCTAGAACTCCAGTCCAGGAGAGCTGGGCTGAGCCAAGGAGAGGGGAGGGAGTAGACACACGTGAGATGGTCAGGCGGCAGGGTCAACAAGACGGGGCGAAGCATTCAACAAGAGGGGGTGAGGGGCAGGGGCAAGGTGACCTTGAGATGCTGGGCTTGTATAACAGCCCTTCCTGGGAGAGGAACCACAGGAGGAGGAGGGGGTTTGGGTGGGAAAATGATGAGTAGCTAAGTATTAGACAAGTTGAGTTTGCGGTTCCTGTGGAACATCCAGGGAATGATGTCTGTTAGGCAATTGAACACATGGGTCTGGAACTCAAGAGAACTATTT